ATTCTTGTGCTTGTGTCTTAGCAAAACAGAGTTTCTCTTCAGGAAGATTTTATTACGAGGTTCAGGTTAAAGGGAAGACTGAGTGGGATTTAGGAGTGGCCAGAGAGTCGATCAACAGGAAGGGACTCATCACAGCGTCTCCTCAGAATGGTAACTGGATGATATGGTTGAGGAATGAAAATGAGTACAAAGCTTGTGCTGACCCTCGAGTCCGTCTCTCTCTGAAGTCTCAGCCTGAGAAGGTGGGGGTGTTTGTGGATTATGAGGAGGGTCTGGTCTCCTTTTATGATGTTGATACTGCAGCTCTGATCTACTCCTTCACTGGCTGCTGCTTCAAAGAGAAACTCTACCCATTCTTTAGTCCCAGTCTTAATCATGGTGGTAAAAACTCTGCCTCTCTGATCATCTCTCCTGTCAATCACACTGAGTAGAACAACCATTTGATTTTCTACAGAAAGATTCACTCTCACTAAATGATGTACTTGTACACAATTTGTACATTTTTCAGAATCTGATCACATATGGTTCACCTTGACGAGACGCATAAAAACACACAAAATACTTATGAGTATGTTCTAATGTACTCTAGTTTATTCTACGGATGGCACTACCTGCCGTCATGACTTGAAGTGATCAGAAAACTATTTACTAAGAAATAAACTTTTACCACTTCTTTATATGTCAGGGGGACAAGAAAAGTATTTATTGTCTCAGAATTGTGTGTTCAAAAAGTGTTTCATACTTGCAGACATTACTAGTGGAAGTAATGCACTCCTTTTTCATTAGTAAAATACTGTATATATATTTTTATCATTTTCAATTGAGGGGAAAATGATGGGTCTCTGGTGTGTTTTAAAGGGGAAGTTCAGGATTGATTATTGAATTATAGTATATTGGTACAAAATGTATTTACAGTTACTTGGAAATTCAACAATATCTGATCATTAAACATTAGGCTGCAGTTGTTTAACAAACGAGGGAAATTAAAATGTTACATCTCAGCTGTCTGTTGTGTTATGTTAATTGTATTTCGTCCACCTCTCTGCACACTGCTTGTAAAGTTTGAACAAAGCCTCAATAGATTAAAAAAAAAAAGGAACAAAGAATGTTATTTTTTGTGTTTTTTCAAATGTATTTACTGAAGTACAGTTTTCACTAGTTCTCAACTTAGGGAAAGTATCTTAAAAACATCTACTTAACTACATTTGTCTGATAGCTTTGGTTCTTCTGAAGCTTTATGAACTATTTAAAACCCTCTTGGATCAGCTGATCATAGATATTAAGATTGCTGTATATGTTTGTTAGAAATAAGGCCATCAACTGGTTAGCTTAGCTTAGCATAAAGACTGGAAACAGGGGAAGACAAAGCCAGCCTGTCCAAAGGTAACAAAATCCACCTATCAGCAGCTCTGAATCCAGTTTGTTTAATCCATACCAAATCAGAGGAGTAAAAACATCAATAAGACATTTAACAGGGTATTATGGGTCGGACTATTTCTTGACTGGGACCTAAACAAGTTGCCAAATTGTTTTTACATTTCAGTTTTCGTACAGAGATATATTAAGTACACTTAAATGTGTATTTTGTCACTCACTATTTCCCCCCTTTTCCTAGTATATATGCTAAACTAAGCTAATCTAAGTGTCTGATGGCTGCAGCCTGTGTCAGTGAGAGCGGTCTGACTGGTTGGACTGCTTCTAATGATTATGATCTCATTCTTCACCTTGAACACACTCCAGCACTGCCTGTACAGGTGAGACTAACTCACTGCAAACGTCCCGTCTGACTGGGAGATAAATAAAGGGTTTTTTAAATATCAAATTTGCATGAAATATGCTTGTAAAGTCTATTTTATTAATGCCCTGTTTATAAATTGGAGCTTATCATTTGAAATGTCATTATTTTTAAAGAGGTGGATGGTGAATAATATTACAATTAAAAATGTTTCACTTACATCATGACTTTGTTTTTTATTACAGTCCACGTTTTCTGAAATGTTATCTTTAAATATACTAACGCATACAGAAACAGCATAGAAATGTGTACACTGGTTAAAACCAGGATCACATTCTTGTTTTATTGTCGACTTATTAGAGTCAAAGGTTTTCACAGAGGGGAGTTTTGATATGGGTTTGTACCACGACATAAATCCAGAAAAACTGTCAGCAGCCTTTAAGAAAAATCTATTCTCCACATGTTTTTTAGGGAAACAGATGTTATAATCCTTAATGCAATCATCAATAATCAGTCTATACATCTGGATATTAATGATATATGAACAAACCACTCAGAGTACAGATGGGAGTGAAACTCATTTGGAGAAAATGATCAAAAAAGGCCTTGTATTGTGAATTTACATTTTGCAGTACACAGGTAATTAAGTTTAAAAAAATAGTAACTAATTCATATGACCACTTTTTGTATTAGATTCTAATTTAATCTGGCATTATTTAATGATAACATAGTAAGGAATCAAAATAGCCCAACCTTTCAAAACTGTCAACCAATGGTGACATACCTTCACCTGTTAGCGACACAATGCTTGAATAGCACGTTCTCTAATAGGGAGTTGGCTCAAGGAATAAGAGGTTAAAATAAGGGCAGTGTCTGCAAGATTCAATACAACCTGTCTGCACTGAGTAAACTAAAATATGCTATGAGACAGTGAACAAATGTGCAATCTCATAGTACGTCCCAACACACACAATATCTAAGAATACTTCAGTTGTACTGTGTGAATGAGGTCAAAGGTTATATTTCAATGTGTGTTCATTGAATTATACTGGAAGTAGTGTATCAGGTTGTTTCTGCTGCACTTTTTCTTAATGTCTTTCATTTTTGTAAAGCACTTTGAATTGCCTTGTGTTGAAAGGTGCTATATAAATAAACTTGCCTTACCTCTTCTTAAATTCGGGATCATGTTCTGAAGTACAAAAGTGATAACAATTGCTCAAACTACAAACTACACTTCATCGAACATGTTTGAAGATTCATTATCAACACACTTTCTCAGACTGTGCTATAAAGAGCTGGTTTGATGTGTAAAATGGCCCCATGTCCTCAGGGTTTCTTCACCACCTGTTGGAACAGAAGAAACACGTTAAAGGCGACAAACACACTTTCCTTTGCCCTGAAAACAGATGAATGAAGGGAACCCAGCGTGTGCTTTCTTACCTTTCAACATGTGTACAGCGTGTTCAGTCTGCTGATGTCGTTCCTGCTCATCTGATTGGCCGTGCCGAACTCTCCGTTGGCGTTGGGGATCGGCGCCATGGTGGGCATATTGTTCCCGCTGAAGGCATACCTGGAAACATTAAGAGCACAGAGGCTTCATTATTATTAGCTTGTATATATATTAAACATTTAGAAACCATTAGTCGCTTTCACACCAAATACTTTGCCGTACTTAGTTCCTAGAACTCTTTAGTCCCGGAACTGTCCTAGTAAATTGCGTTCACACCTTTATATATACAGTCTATGGTTCACACCGGAATAAGTCCTTGAGGGAGGATTACGCAAATGAAGCCGCTGACGTCACTTCTTCTTCTTCTGCTTTGGGTTTACTGGCAGGCCGCAAACAACTTCACGGCGTATACTGCCACCCGAAGTCCCGGGTAAATCGCCAGAAGCGCCGACACCTCCTCATCACTCCACCGCTCCCATGTTTTATTTTGTGTTGCCATAAGTTAGTCTCTCTCCGTTGGTGCGCTGGGCTAATGCTAATGCTAATAATAGGAAACATCGTGGAAGGAAGTCAGGCCGCGCTCGATGATGGAGCGCTCACGAGAAGCTGAGGAGAAAGAAACAAAGCAGCTGTGGTTCAATGGAGGTCAAGGGTCACATTCAGGTTCTTAGACTTTTCCTCAGAGGTGGGAGAAGTACTCAGATCTGTACTTGAGTAAAAGTAGAAGTACCAGAGTGTAGGAATACTCAATAAAGGTCCTGCGTTCAAAATGTGACTCAAGTAAAAGTAGAAAAGTATTATCATCAAAATATAGTTAAAGTAGCGACAGTAAAAGTAGTCATTGTGCAGATTGGTCCATTTCAGAATAATATATATGATATGTTTTAGAATGATTGATCATTAAAAGTGTTCTCAAAGCTGGTAAATGTGCAGCTAATGTAGTTTGAATGACTTTGTGTACTGCAGGGTAGCTTGTGAATTTACTCCAGGTGGAACTAAAGTCTGATTTAAGACTTGATTATATTTCACATCATTCATCCAGATCTGTAAAGTAACTAAAGGTATTAATCAATTGTAGTGGAGTAAAAGTACAAAGTAGCAAAAAAATTGCACTTAAGTACAGACTGTTACAGGTGATTTAAACAGCAGGATTAGCTGAAAAGAGTCCAAGGAAGCTTATGTAAAAGTTAACAGCATTTAATTAAACAAATTATACGGTGATACAAATGGAATGTGTAAGAGTGGTGCGGCTCTCCCGATCGCGTGGGGTCCCGCTGCCTCCTCCCAGCTGTTGTTATCGCGTGGCCGGGGTAGAGAGAGAGCGTTTTTTCCTGTCCATCATATGTTATAGTCTATAGTCCTCTCCTATTGGCCGGTCTCGACGGAGGGCGGGTCTTCCTCCCGGGTTCGTTCCTCTGTGATTAATATCGCATCTAATAAGAGGATTTAGACGTTGTGTGTTTATTGTATAACTCCACAAGCCTTTACTCCTCATATTTCTTACAAGACCCATTTTCAAACAGTCAGTTCAGGGAGGAGGAAGTGTTTCACCAGCTGCTCTTAAACAGGGACCATAACACAGCGTTGTGAAATATAGCTATAAATCTCCAGATGTGTAAAGAGCTGTCCTTTATGTGTTGAGAAAATATTCCTACTTGTGCTCAATACACTATTTGAAAATCCTCTTGGATCAGCTGTAAAATGCATCGTCACAAAGTTAAATAACAAGCCTCAACAGTTCTTCCTCCACCCCCTCTTGGCAAACTGCCACTGACAGGTTGAAACACACTGTAAGAGAAGAGTTTCTATTTCCCGGAAATGAAAGCTGAAGTTTGTCTGAGCGACAGCAGAGCAGCAGCCGAGACAAGTCTCTGTTTCTCTGAAGAAACACTCAACTGAATCCAGCAGCTTTTTATCAACAACACAGCAGGACTCTGCAAACACTGGTGAGTACACTACAGACACATCACTAACTAAATATTTAGTCAAAGTTGGATTAAAATCAGAATCTGACTGTATTACATCAGTTTACCATATAAAGAATATTATACTATAGAAATGTGTCAGTTAAGATAAAAACCTCAATATTTACATTTGCAACAGCCAAAAAAGTAAGTTAGGTTAGAGAGCATACAGTCAAAGCTAGCATTAGCTAATGCAAATTTTCATATTTCCTGTATTAAACAAAGTAGAATCTAAATAGTAGATTTGTTCTGGACTGTCCAAAGCAAGGGATCTGGTGTTATGTTACAAGTGTTGCTTATAAAAGGCATGACAATTACATATGTCATCTTATATAATTTGTACACACTGTGGTAAGTAGCCTTGAGCTTTGAACCTGTTTCTGTGGTAACTGCTGTCTGCCTTTTGAAGCTGATAACGTTTACTGTTTTTTACTAGTATTAACTTCAGTGATGCTCAGCAGGAGGTTTCACTCCTCTGTTCAACAATGGCAAAATCCCCCAACAGTATTAGAGTTTACACATTGTGTTTCTTAGAGTTTAAACCGAATGCTGCTATGATTTTCCAGATTTCATTTATAATATTAACAAACAGAGAGATTTCATTAACATTTAACAATAACAGTGTACTGCAAATTTGAGCAATCTTTCACCCTCCGCATAATCATGATACATCAGCAGAGTTCAGTATCACCATCTATTTGACTTATAGCAAACAGATACAAGAGATTAAATCATATATACATTACAGTTTTTGTTTTTTTCACACGTTTTGTCCTCAGAGAGACATGTCTGCTGCCAGCTGTCTGCTGACTGAAGATCAGTTTCTGTGCTCCATCTGTCTGGATGTGTTCACTGATCCAGTCAGCATACCATGTGGACACAACTTCTGTAAAGCCTGCATCTCTGAACACTGGGATAGAAATGTCCCGAGTCAGTGTCCATACTGTAAAGAGGTTTTCAACACAAAGCCTGAGCTGCGGGTCAACACATTCATCTCTGAGATGGCTGCTCAGTTCAGACAGTCAGCTCAACAGAAAGCCAGCAGCAGCAGCTCAGAGCAACACGTTGTCAAACCAGGAGAAGTTCCCTGTGACGTCTGCACTGGAACCAGAATGAAGGCCCTGAAGTCCTGCATGATGTGTCTGGTGTGTATGGTGTGTCTGGTGTGTCTGGCCTCCTACTGTGAGACTCACCTGAAAAATGCAGGCTTCAAAAGACATCAGCTGATCGACCCTGAGGAGAACCTTGAAGACAGGATGTATATGAAGCACGATAAACGACTGGAGCTGTTCTGTGAGCTGGCGAAGACAGAGGCTGAAATTCAACAGATGATCCAGAAGAGACGACTGAAGATTCAGGAGATGAATCGCTCAGTGGAGCTCAGTAAGGAAGGAGCAGACAGAGAGATAGCAGATGGTGTTCAGGTCTTCACCGCTCTGAAGGAGTCTGTTGAGAGAAGCCAGGCCGAGCTCATCGACACCATCAAAGAGAAGCAGAGAGAGACAGAGGAACAGGCTGAAGGCTTTATCAAAGAGCTGGAACAGGAAATCTCTGAGCTGAAGAAGAGAAGCTCTGAGGTGGAGCAGCTGTCACGCTCTGAAGACCAGCTCCACCTCCTCCAAAGCTTCACGTCCCTGAACGCTGCTCCACCCACCAAGAACTGGACAGAAGTCAGGGTCCATCCACCTTCATATGAGGGGACTGTGAGGAGAACTGTGACTCAGCTGGAGGAGACGCTCAGTAAACAGATGAAGAAGCTGCTCTCTGAGGTGGAGCTGAAGAGGGTCCAGCAGTATGAGGTGGAGGTGACTCTTGATCCTGATACAGCAAATCCCAACCTCATCCTGTCTGATGATGGAAAACAAGTGAAACATGAGGAGGACGACGACGAGGAGGACGAGGAAGAGGAGGAGGATGAGGAGGAGGAAGAAGACGAGGAGGAGGAGGAGGAGGAGAAGGATGAGGAGGACGAGGAGGAAGAGGAGGACGAAGAAGAGGGTGGATGAAGCTCTTGTGACAGTCATATGATCACAGATTGACTCAGCACTCACACTTCCTGTCTGCAAACACAAGGCTGTTGTTGTTGTTGTTGTAAGTATGCTGCTTCTGTCTCTGTGACTTATGAAGACATGAAGACGAATCTCCCAGACAATCCAGAGAGATTTGATACTTGTGTTTTAGCAAAGCAGAGTTTCTCTTCAGGAAGATTTTATTACGAGGTTCAGGTTAAAGGGAAGACTGAGTGGACTCTAGGAGTGGTCAGAGAGTCGATCAACAGGAAGGGACAGATCACACTGACTCCTCAGAAAGGTTACTGGGTGATAGTGTTGAGGAATGAAAATGAGTACACAGCTTGTGCTGGTCCTCCAGTCCGTCTCTCTCTGAAGTCTCAGCCTGAGAAGGTGGGGGTGTTTGTGGATTATGAGGAGGGTCTGGTCTCCTTTTATGATGTTGATGCTGCAGCTCTGATCTACTCCTTCACTGGCTGCTGCTTCAAAGAGAAACTCTACCCATACTTTGGTCCCTGTAACAACTATGGTGGTAAAAACTCTGCCCCTCTGATCATCTCTCCTGTCAATCACACTGAGTAGAACAACCATTTGATTTCCTACAGAAAGATTCACTCTCACTAAATGTAATAAATGTATTCAACTGGGGAAGTACATTGTACACATTGTTAATTGTTCAGAATCTGATCACATATGGTTCACCTTGATGAGACGCATAAAAACACATAACATACTGATAAGTATGTTCTAATGTACTCTAGTTTATTCTACGGATTGCACTTCCTGCCGTCATGACTTGAAGTGATCAGAAAACGATTTACTCAGAAATAAACTTTTACCACTTCTTTATATGTCAGGGGGACAAGAAAAGTATTTATTGTCTCAGAATTGTGTGTTCAAAAAGTGATTCATACTTGCACACATTACTAGTGGAAGTAATGCACTCCTTTTTCATTAGTAAAATACTGTATATATATCTCTTTTTATAATTTTCAATTGAGCGGAAAATGATGGGTCTCTGGTGTGTTTTAAAGGGGAAGTTCAGGATTGATTATTGAATTATAGTATATTGGTACAACATGTATTGACAGTTACTTGGAGAATCAACAATACCTGATCATTAAACATTAGGCTGCAGTGGTTTAACAAACCAGGGAAATTAAAATGTTACATCTCAGCTGTTGTGTTATGTTAATTGTATTTCGTCCACCTCTCTGCACACTGCTTGTAAAGTTTGAACAAAGCCTCAATGGATTAAAAAAAAAAGGAACAAAGATTGTTATTTTTTTGTGTTTTTTTAAATGTACTTACTGAAGTACAGTTTTCACTAGTTCTTAACTTAGGGAAAGTAGCTTAAAAAAATGTACTTAACTATTTCCATTTCTACTTAACTACATTTGTCTGATAGATTTGGTTCTTCTGAAGCTATATAAACTATTTAAAACCCTCTTGGATCAGCTGATCATAGATATTAAGATTGCTGTATATGTTTGTTAGAAATAAGGCCATCAACTGGTTAGCTTAGCTTAGCATAAAGACTGGAAACAGAGGAAGACAAAGCCAGCCTGTCCAAAGGTAACAAAATCCACCTATCAGCAGCTCTGAATCCAGTTTGTTTAATCCATACCAAATCAGAGGAGTAAAAACATCAATAAGACGTTTAACAGGGGATTATGGGTCGGGCTATTTCTTGACTGGGACCTAAACCAGTTGCCAAATTGTTTTTACATTTCAGTTTTCGTACAGAGATATATTAAGTATACTTAAATGTGTATTTTGTCACTCACTATTTCCCCCTTTTCCTAGTATATATGCTAAACTAAGCTAATCTAAGTGTCTGATGGCTGCAGCCTGTGTCAGTGAGAGCGGTCTGACTGGTTGGACTGCTTCTAATGATTATGATCTCATTCTTCACCTTGAACACACTCCAGCACTGCCTGTACAGGTGAGACTAACTGACTGCAAACGTCCCGTCTGACTGGGAGATAAATAAAGGTTTTTTAAATATCAAAATTGCATGAAATATGCTTGTTAAGTCTATTTTATTAATGCCTTGTTTATAAGATGGAGCTTATCATTTCAAATGTCATTATTTCTAAAGAGGTGGATGGTGAATAATATTACAATTAAAAATGTTTCACTCACATCATGACTTTGTTTTTTATTACAGTACACGTTTTCTGAAATGTTATCTTTAAATATACTAACGCATACAGAAACAGCATAGAAATGTGTACACTGGTTAAAACCAGGATCAAATTCTTGTTTTATTGTCGACTTATTAGAGTCAAAGGTTTTTACAGAGGGGAGTTTTGATATGGGTTTGTACCACTACATAAATCCAGAAAAACTGTCAGCAGCCTTTAAGAAAAATCTATTCTCCACATGTTTTTTAGGGAAACAGATGTTATAATCTTTAAAGCAATCATCAATAATCAGTCTATACATCTGGCTATTGATGATATATGAACAAACCACTCAGAGTACAGATGGGAGTGAAACTAATTAGGAGAAAAAAATAAAAAAGGCCTTGTATTGTGAATTTACATTTTGCAGTACACAGGTAATTAAGTTAAACAAATAGTAACTAATTCATATGACCACTTTTTGTAAAAGATTCGAATTTAATCTGGCATTATTTAATGATAACATAGGTAGGAATCAAAATAGCCCAACCTTTCAAAACTGTCAACCAATGGTGACATACCTTCACCTGTTAGCGACACAATGCTTGAATAGCACGTTCTCTAACAGGGAGTTGGCTCAAGGAGTAAGAGGTTAAAATAAGGGCAGTGTCTGCAAGATTCAATACAACCTGTCTGCACTGAGTAAACTAAAATATGCTATGAGACAGTGAACAAATGTGCAATCTCATAGTACGTCCCAACACACACAATATGTCTAAGAATACTTCAGTTGTACTGTGTGGATGAGGTCAAAGGTTATATTTCAATGTGTGTTCATTGAATTATACTGGAAGTAGTGTATCAGGTTGTTTCTGTGCTGAATGACAAACTAATTGACTTAACAACTGAGTATTTGCACTTGTGAGGGATCTTAAAGTCTGCTGATAGATGCCTTACTGACTTTGACCTTTAAAAAACGAGAGCACAAAAAACCTCACTGACATTGAACTGTCTGACTGACTGAGTGCAAGTAGTGGAAGAAGTATTAAAGAGGCACTGTTATGCTTTTGGGGTTTCCCCTTTCCTGTAGTGTGTTCTGGAGGTTTGTGTGCATGTCAATGGTCTGCAAAATAATAAATATTACATCAAAAATACTCAGATCTTGTACGTCTATGTGCTCCTCTCCAACTTTGCCCATTTTCGTATTTTGTACATATTTTTTTTACTTTTGCCGTTTTACTTTTGATATGGTTCGCAACATGCTAGCCGACCGCACCTACTCTGCCATACAATATAGCAGAGAGGAACTTCTCCAATTGCGAAACTTCGTGGACAATAATAACCCTCCGACAAACAATGGAGATTCACCATGGCTACCTGTTGCTGTTCTACCTGAGAGACGCAAGAAGAGGACAAAGCGCGGATGCCGGGCCGGGTTGCTGGTCAGACTGAGAAAACGAGAGAATCGGCCCCCTCTTCCGAGTATTCTTCTGGCTAATGTTCAATCCATTGAAAATAAGCTAGATGAACTCAGAAGCCGGATTGCTTTTCAACGGGACATTAAGAACTGTAACGTGTTAATTCTCACTGAGACTTGGCTCAACCCCGCTATCCCGGACTCCGCCATTGTCCCTGATGGATTCTCTATTTTTCGTCAGGACCGGACTGCTAACTCGGGGAAAAGTAAGGGAGGCGGTGTGTGTCTAATGACTAACAACAACTGGTGCTCAGATGTGAAGATTATTTCATCGGACTGTTCCGCACAGCTAGAGCACCTCATGATCTCATGTCGGGCCTTCCATCTGCCGAGGGAATTCACATCTGTTGTGATAACAGCAGTGTATATCCCGCCGCAGCCACTCGCCGACAACAACACGGCACTCGATCAGCTGTTTGGGATTATTGATAAAACCGAGACTTCACGGCCAGATGCGGCGTTCGTTGTGGCCGGAGATTTCAACACCGCCAACATGAACAAGGTTTTGCCAAAATATTACCAACACATCAACTTCCCGACGCGCGGGGGAAACATACTGGACCATGTTTATTCCCCTTTCCGGAATGGATATAAGGTTCTCCCTCGCCCTCCCTTCGGCAAATCAGACCATATCTCACTACTGTTGTTGCCTGCGTACAAGCAGAAACTTAAAAGGGACAGACCGGTAACAAGAACAGTACAACGATGGAGCGAGGAGTCAGATGAGGCACTGCAGGATTGCTTTGCATCCACGGATTGGAGTGTGTTTGAGGACAATAACATCAACACACACACGGACACTGTCATCTGCTACATTGGGAAATGCATCGATGACGTGGTACCGAAGGTTTCTGTACGGACATTCCCAAATCAAAAGCCCTGGGTAAACAGTGAGGTGCGCGGCAAACTGAAAGCGCGCACTATCGCGCACACAGCGGGAGATTTGGAGGAGTACAGGAAGTCTAGGTATGATCTCCGGAGAGCAATTAAAAATGCAAAGAGACAGTACAAAGACAAGGTGGAATCTGACTTCAAAGGCTGTAACACTAGGAATATGTGGGCGGGACTAAGGACAATGACTGACTACAAAGGAGCAGCGGGGGGTGCTGCGGGAGTGTCTGCGTGCGCATCTCTCCCAGATGAGCTAAACAGTTTTTTTGCACGCTTTGAGAGCAGCCGGGCTGTGGAGGTACAGAGGGACCAGGAGCTACACTGCCCTTTTGTTTTAAATAGGGCAGATGTGTGTAAATCCTTTAAAAGGGTTAACCCACACAAGGCTCCTGGACCTGATGGCATCCCTGGCCGTGTTCTCAGGGTGTGTGCAGTTCAGCTGGCAGAGGTGTTCACAGACATCTTCAACAGGTCCCTGCTGCAGTCTGTAGTCCCCACATGTTTTAAACACTCCACCATCATTCCTGTCCCCAAAAAGACAAAAATCACCTGCCCCAACGACTACCGCCCAGTAGCACTCACCTCCATCATAATGAAGTGCTTTGAGCGGTTAGTCAAATTATTCATCACCTCCTCCCTCCCTGAATCTCTGGACCCCCTGCAGTTTGCCTACAGAGCAAACAGGTCCACAGATGACGCCATAGCCCTCACCCTCCACACTGCCCTCTCACACCTGGACCCGAAGAACAGGAACACATATGTGAGAATGCTGTTCATTGACTACAGTTCAGCATTCAATACCATTGTGCCCTCCAAGCTGGCCATCAAGCTCAGAGATCTCGGGCTCAACAGCGCCCTCTGTGACTGGATCCTGAACTTCCTGACGGGCAGACCCCAGGCAGTGCGGGTGGGAAACATCACATGCTCCACCCTGATTCTAAACACCGGTGCCCCTCAAGGCTGCATGCTCAGCCCTCTCCTCTACTCCCTGTTCACCCACGACTGCGTGGCCACACACAGCTCCAACACCATCGTGAAGTTTGCTGATGACACGACCGTCATCGGCCAGATCACAGACGATGACGAGACGGCGTACAGAGAGGAGGTCGAAAACCTGACATCTTGGTGCCAGGATAACAACCTCCATCTCAACATCAGCAAAACTAAGGAGCTGATTGTGGATTACAGGAAGCAGCAGGGAGAGGGACACGCCCCCATTGCCATCAATGGGACTACGGTGGAGAGAGTCAAAAGCTTCAGGTTCCTTGGGGTCCACATCACTGAGGACCTGACATGGTCTCTTCACACCACCACCATCACCAAGAAAGCTCGACAGCGGCTCTTCTTCCTCTGCAGGTTGAGGAGGTTCAAAATGGATTCCAGGATACTCTGCAACTTCTACAGGTGCACGATAGAGAGTATCCTGACTGGCAGCATGACGGCCTGGTACGGCAGCTGCACCGACCTCGATCGTAAGGCTTTACAGAGGGTGGTGAAAACTGCACAGCACATCACCAGGACGGAGCTGCCATCCATGGAGGACCTTTACTCCCAGCGGCTCAGGAAGAAATCACTACGGATTATCAAAGACCCCCATCACCCCAGCCACAAACTGTTCTTTCTGTTGCCGTCTGGCAGGCGTTACCGCAGCATCCTGGCAAGGACAAGAAGATTCGGAGACAGTTTCTTCCCGCGGGCAGTGAGACTGTTAAAAAATGGAACTGTTAAAACAACATCAAACATTCATCTGCTACTCAGTAGTATG